TTGAATTATTTTCTTAACTTGAAGGGCTTTCTGAGAATCTGTTAGTGTTTGCTTATCTATCAACATTCGTAATAACCTAAACAGCAGATTCCAAGAACTTCCAAAAATAGGCAGAAGTCTTGAAAACAATCTTTTAAACGTAGCGAAGCGTTTGATATAACATGTCTAAACTGCCTGATAGTAAAAATGCAATTTGTAGCCTATTGAAATCGAATATAAAAGGCTTCATTCTAAAATAAAATAGAAATAGATGACGAGAAAATATCTTGGTAGGGTGATTAGCAGCCCTTCTTCTCAAACACTCACCTTGATTAGAAACTGCGGAACTACTGCAAGCTGTTAAATTATACGGCTTCTTCTACAATAGCGATCTGCGGTTTCACAACATTTTAGATGTTCGGTTAATTAGCTTTGAAGATGACTTGATAGGCTTCTGACCTCTTTCCTTGGAAACAAATTTCTGTTGATAGGAACTTTTGTTGCGGCTTTTGTGGAATCTTGCGCAAAAACTATTTTTAAAAGATGTCATGGAACATTTCACAAATAGTGTTTTTGATTTGAACAAAAATACGAACTTAAAATTCGAGGAATTTCAGTGTAAACGATTTAAGAATGGTAATGTTTGTTTTATTGAAAAGCATCATCAAGTTTTTCTCAGAAATAATAAAAAAATGGTGCATTGCAGGGTAATGAATTTACTTGGAAAAGGTGGTCAATCGCTAAGTTTAGCGATCAAAATTTTTATTTGGTTCTTTACAAGACGTTAAAGTTTATTTAATTCTGGCAAAGCACGCAAGGGCTATCTTACCTAAGGCGAAGGATGCCTCCGTGGAGGACTTTCTAAGTGCAGTTGGCTCGTATCCACGTTACATATGGTGTTGGTGTATTTAATTATGGCAAAGCACACGAGGGCTATCTGCCTAAAGGGAAGGATGCCTTTCGTGGAGGACTTTCTAAGGGAAACTGGCTCGTATACACGTTACACATGGGGAAAACCACGAAAACGCCCATGCAGCCAGCCCGTTCGCGGGATTCGAACCTCAGACCGAACTACCAGTATTCAGCGTCTTTACCGCTCGGCCGCTGGTGGGCCGTTACATATGGAGAAAACCATGAAAAAGCCGTACAGCCAGCCCGTTAGCCATGAGTTTAGCCAATGTCAAACTGCCAGCATTCAATGACTTTATCACTCGGCCGCTGGTGGTCCACTTTACAAAATAGTAATAGATAAAACACTTTACTGAATTAAGTTTTTTTATGTTTTGTTTTGCCACCTAAGAAATAAAATTTAAACATGTACTTATGTTAGTGACTTGCTGAAAAAAACAAACAACCCTCTGCCATATGTAATTAACAACGAACTTTATTATTCGTGACCAGAAATGTCTGTATTCGGTTTATATTTTCACAATTTTTAATCATGGATTATAAAAATGTTTTGAGTGATGAATTTTTTGTTTGTTTATATTTAAGTGATGATTCATGCTTTTTTTTTCATGTTTAAGTGATGTTTATTAATGTTTAAGTGATGATTCATGTTTTAAATAATTCATAATTTGGTAATTTTTTTATTTAAAAAATCAGTTATTGTAAAATATTAAGAAAATGAATTAAGAAATAATTAAGAAAACTTTTTATGCATGACTTGGTCCCTATAGTTTTATTTAGAAAACGTTTATATACATTATAAAATAAAAAACAAAAACAGAAGGTTTGGACCCCCGAGCGACAAAAATTTACTGTAAGGTATTTAATTTTATAATTATGGATATTTAATGTCCTTTCTGGGTTTCGTTGTTCATCCATCCATTAATCTCATTTAGTGATTTACCTAGTGTGTAAAATTTTTAATTTAGAATTTTTTTACATATTGTATACCGCCAGAATTTTCATAGAAATAATTTCTAAGTATTCAAATGTTGATATCTGATGAAAACTAATCTCAAATGGACTTCACGGGACTTCCTTGTATAGCCTATTAAATTATACACATTTCTTTGCCGCATTTCATTAAAATTATTTCCTCGAATTATTCAAACTTAATTAACCGATCTCTGAAGGCAAGATGAAAATGACATCAAAAATTACAAATTTTGAAATTGAATTTTCTGCTCAGTTTTTGTCATACGGTAGTCAAACTTCTAATAATTTCATTTTTTCACAACAAGCATAAATCTTTGCCAAATATACGTAATATATATATAGGAACCGGGAAACAGCATTAAAAGTTATATTTCGTTATTTGCCCCAAATTCATTTTTTTATTAATTTGGCATTGCTCAAATATGATTTGCGTCATTTAAAACACTTCTGTAATTTGAAATATGACTACGCCCAACGATTGCGAAAATAAAGGCCTGATAAGGTGACGGGTATATATATACATATATATATATGTTTGGTTCAGCCGATTGCAATAAAAGAGGGAGGTGCACAACTAGATATTATAGCAGTCCCATGTAAAAAAATTCAAATCTTTCCGGCTAATCGTTTTGAGTATGCGAGATACGTACCTACGTAAGTACGTACAGATGTCAGGAAAATATTCCTTTTGAATCCATTTTAAATGCATTTTACAATCCGTTTTGGAAAAATTAATCCTTTATTCCGCCCTTACGTACAGACGTTACGCAAAAAAATCGCCGAAATCGATTCGGGAACTGAAATATGATACCCGAGATTTTTCATGATTACAGTACTTCCTTTACTTCGTACGAGGAAGTAAAAATACATTATGAATATATTCATACCATTTTATTACTTTAGAATCATAATCTAATAATCGTACTAGCAAATTAATTAAACTAGCAATATTATTAATTTTTAGTTTATGGAAACATAGTTACGAATTGGCTGCATGCCAATTCTAAAGTCTGCTACTGTTGTCTAAAACACCAGTTCTGTAAGATTCTATGAGTAAGATCTTATCCGGAAAAAAAAAAAAAAAAAAAAAAATTGAAGAGCCAAAACATTATAACCACATACTCAATAACCCGTTGCGTGAACTTTGGCCTTCAAAACAGCTGCAGCTGGCCTTCGCTTGGGTGCCACAAGTTCTTGGTAGATGACTGGAGACAGATTGTACCAATTGTCTTAGTAGCGGTTTTGCAGAGTCGAGATATTCCGCAATGGTGGTGTTTCAGCTCTGAGCTGCCGCTTCACGACATTCCAAGTGTGCTCTATCGGGTTAAGATCCGGCGAGTTAGGTGGGCAGGACATTAATTGGAGTTCATCCTTTTTCTCCTCGAACCACTCCAACACAAATCAAACCTTGTGACCTGGGCCATTGTCCTGCTGGAAGATTCTATTTCCAGTTGGGAAGACATATGCCTTGTAAAGCCTTGTATATGCCTTGTAGTGCAACTGATACATATGCCTTGTAGTGCAACTGATACATATGCCTTGTAGTGCAACTGATCCACATTTATATTCAGATAGTCTGCAGCTTTCATGGACTGTTCTACCACAACTAAGGGTCCCAGAGCCGCCCATGAGAACGTCCCCCAAAGCATAATACCGCCACCACCAGCCTGTGTATGACCTGCTTTATAGGAGAGGGAGCAACTGTTCGCCTGGAAAACGACGTACCCTGACACGGCCATCGACGTGATGAATAAGAAATTGTGATTCATCCGACCAAGGCAACTCTCTTCCACTTATCCATTGTCCAATCTCAATGTTCCTGGGCCCACTGTAGTTGACAATGACATTTGGTCAACAGGCACACGAATGGGACGTCTGCTGCGCAGTCCCATATCCAACAATCTGTTGAACTGTTCGATATTGACTGTTGAGTCCCATATCATAGTGTCTGTTGAACTGTGTGTTCCGAAACACTTGCATTTGGACGTACATTGTATTGAGCTGTCAAATGAGCCTCTGTCTATCGCCAATTTTGCTGTACGAAGCGGGACAGTCTTCGACGTCCTTTTTTTCTTTGATGACGCGTGGATGTCCAACACATTTGTGTCTATTGCTCGCTTCACCGTCATTTACCCACTTTGCGTAAATGCTGACAACGGAAGATCGTGAACAACCTACCAGTGGGGCAGATTCGGAGATACTCGTTCCAAATTTTCGGGCCATTAGAATCTGCCCTCTATCAAATTTGCTTAGATCAGCAGCCTTTTCCATCACTCGCAAAAGTAAGTGCAAGAATGATTCATTACCTTCTCCAGCAGCAGTTAATGCTTTGATGCTTGGTTGGTATACTGGCCTACAGCAGGTGATAGTGATCCCTACTCTTGCCAGTTACTGAAAGAGTCCCGTTAGGGCCTGACTTGTAATACAACCGTAAAGAATATTCTCCAAAAGAGATAAGTACCTGACTGAGAGAAAACAGATTGAAGCGCTTCTAAAAATTGAAGACCCGGTAGGGGAGTATGGAGACTGGTCGGGTCGATGCTGTTGTTCTCCCAGAATTCATAAATTTTTAAAGACACACTATCAAGCTAAATAGTAAAAGCACTGTGGAATTCTGGTTTCTCATTAGTCATCTTGATTGTTTAGTGTAATACGCAGCGGAGGGCCTAAAAAATCTATCTTTCTCTAGAACGTTGTACTCTAAGATTTTTGCGAAATTTCTTAAAGTTCGCTTATAAATCTTCCATTGACCCGTGTGGTGAAATCGAAAACACTCATGCATCCAGCCCGTTAAATATTCTTAACCGAATAATTTAAAAGCAGTTCTTCAGCTTGGTACAAATGCATGGAATTTAATGTTAGTGCATTCGATGTGTAAAAATTACAGTTTAGATGAAACTGAAACTACTTTAAAATCATCTGTGTGTTCATTTGATCTTGGAATGATTAGCATTGCCATTCATATCGAAGATCATGAGCTCAGATCTTGTTCAGGAGATTTTACTGTAGATATTATGCCTCATTTTTGTCATCCCTCGTCCTCATAAACTGATATCTGAAACGACAAACTAAACTTTCTTCAATGATATTCATATAGATTATTTTATTGAAATTTTTTATATTATTTTTATTTTTAGGTACAGATAGCGGACTTAAAAAACTGTTAAAGGATATTGAAAGCTTGGAAGAAGATGTTGCTTTGCTGAGTCAAATTAATGAACTAGTTTCGAAGTTAAACACCCATCAACAAGTGAGACTAAATTTTTTTCTTGTGTTTGTTTTATATAAAATACATTTTTATATTACATTTCAAAAGCACAGATATGATTTAAAGTTGAACCTTGCGAATAAAACGACACTGCTATATAAGTAACATAAGGGATATATAAGTAACATCGTATGATATATGCTGCTATAATAAGTAACATCTTATGATTTTCACTGTTCTGATACAAATTGGTGTCTTGAAAAGTTGGTCATAGACCCATAGGTTCAATTTAAGAAGTACATCAAATAAGGGTGCTACGAAAATTTTGCTTATGTTGTAGAGTTATGCTTCAGAGCAGTTCCTTGTCACAACACTATTGGAATTATGCGGTCACAATGCTAGTACATTCCTATAACCGACATGCTAAACTTACATAAACCTGCTCCGACATGACGAGCCCATCAAGAGCATTGCCGAGCCGATGCAGCGTACTCATTACCAAAGTACATTTTATGAGTTTGATGTTGAGTACCACCAAGATGGGAGACCAACAGAAGCTTGATGACGGGCCCGTTAGCCGCCCCCTATCCGGGGAACGTTGCCGCCCCCTCAACAAGCGCTGAGGTGGACGCTCAAAGTAGTTTTCTTGTCACAACAGGAAGATTTTCTTCTGTTGACAAGGGATAAAAGCCAGAACTGCGCATTTGCGGACTAGCTTATCCAGTTATTGGCATTGTAGAGTTCCTCATTTTGTAAATGCTAATTATTGTTGAACGTGAAGAATCTTAAGAACAGTTAAGCGAATAATCGCTTGAGTTCGTGTGACAAGAAACAACAATATGAAAGGGTAAATAACCCTTTATTATTCAAATAAGATTTAATAGAACTCCGTCTTGGTGTGTACAATAAAAGCCGACACTTGGGCTTGAACTTAAGAGGCTAAGAAGTAAACTAAAACTAATCTATACTAAAGAGATATAGCCGAAGCTATCAAGATTCTAACCTAGTTGCCCCCTTAATGCTAATTTGACTGCGAAGCTATCAAGGGCCTAAGTGCGGCCGAGCGTAATAATAGCTTAGGAGAGAGTGGCCTAAAAAGGGCGGACGCGTGCAGACAGAATACCTGGTAACTCTCTTGCTAAGACCGAAGAACTTCGCGGTTTAAATACCGCTCCTCCTCATTTTATATTCAGACGTGATTCTAAAACTACGTTCTGGCCGGAAGTAGTAAGTAAGTTGAAATTAAGAAATGTGACAGGAAAGAAGGTTAACTCAAAATTTAACTGTTAATAAAATTAACATAATCCTTACAATGTGATACTTTTCAGAAAATATATACGGAACTTATTAGAATGAAAGTATACGAAGATTTTATAGTAAAAAGACATTCTAGAAAATAAATGACAGTGATTAAAATATTTTCCATACCCAATACCCGGAATTTTAATATAATATTAAATTTATGGGTATTAATATATAGTTTAATAGAATAATTTTAATTAATGATTAATTTATAATTAATATTTTCCATAACAAATAACCCTAGAACTTTAATTAATGATGCTGTGGTTATCATTAATTCATGAAGAATATGATGAATAATCATTATGAATAATTATCATTAATAATTATCATTAATGAATAATCATTATCATTATCCATGAAGTTATAATATACAGCTAGCTACAATAAACAGCTAAACATGGCTCAATTTTCGAATACAAATTTGTAAAAAATATCTTTTGCATGAGGCAAAAATTAATTTAAACGCAGTCTTTAAACTCAAGCAATTTGAGGCTGCTTTTAAAGAGTGTTTTAATTGCCCCCTTAGCAATTAAAGTAATTAATTCGTCATTAACAAAAACACAAATTTTATTATGTAAATGATAACGAATCCTAATAAAGTTATCTGTCTATCTTCTCTTTAGTAAAACTGGTTTATAGTATTTATCTGCATTACAACAAAAATTTGAAATAAAAATTTAGTTATATGGTTCTGCTGTAACTGAAAGTTTAGTCCTGCAGACTCTCAGCTTAAATCCAACGAACAACTAATTTGCATTCTGATGAGGACTACAGAATGGAGAAGTAAAGGCTTAAATTATAATAAGTGGTTAATTAACATGAAATACCTTAGACAGCAAATATGAATTTCAAATTTATTTTTACAAAAATGCTAAAATTCGAAATTTTATATACAATCAATTAATTTTGTAATAGACTTTTCTTTTCAATAAGAGAAAGCGACCCTTCTGCTCAATAAATTTCTTTTTGTAAAAATGCTAAATTCAAATTTATTTTTGTAAAAATGCTAAAATTCGAAATTTTATATACAATCAATAAATTTTGTAATAGGCTTTTCTTTTCAATAAGAGAAAGCGACCCTTCTGATCAATAAATTTCTTTTTGTAAAAATGCTAAAATTCGAAATTTTATACACAATCAATTAATTCTGTAATAAACTTTTCTTTTCAATAAGAGAAAGCGACCCTTCTACTCGATAAATTTATGCATTCCCCCCCCCACACTCAGGGAAATTTTGCATACTGCGGACTGCATTTGCTTTCTTGAAATATCTTTAGTATCATAAAAGACAATTTATTTATTGGAACTTTCTTCTTTCAGGGACCATATAAAAACTTAATTTCTCGTATTTTTACAAAAAGATATTCATGTGACCAAAATTGTCTCTGAAAGCCTATTTTCTTTTCATTCTGGAGTGTGTCTCGCGATAATTAGTTAAGCAGTCTTTTTGATACATCCTGAGAATATTTTATTGTATGAATTTTCTACTTTTTCATTAATATCAAAACAACATTATTTGTATTACTAAAAAATTAAAAAAAAAAAAAAAAAAAAAAAAAAAAAAAAAAAGATTATTCACAATTATTTACCAGCGCCACAAGATGCAGTTATTTTTTTTTTTTTTTCATATGTGTACACAACAGGTCCAGAAAACTTCTTACATGGTCATTATTTTCGGAGTAGTACGTCGTAGGCATATACTTACAGTAATAAAAATGTATTGAATAATATGTATTGAATATTCGTGTTTTGTCATTTTTAATGTAAAAATTATGAATTCTATATGCTTATTCATTTCCCCCTGTCTTAGTAATTTGTACTAAAGTTTATATTTCTAAAAGTTTATACTAAAAAAAAAATGAAGCACTGAGTGTTTGAAGCCCGTACAACATATTGGCCCAGATATTTAATTTAAAATTTTAAGAACATTTAAGCATCGTCTTATAAGTTATTTTTACACAGTTAATAATATTAATATGATTTTTGAAATCTTTTCATAAAGTTATATATATATTATAAAGTTTATATACAATTAAAAATGAAATAGTAATCTCAATAAACAGTTTTCATGTTACCCGATTCAATGATGCGCATTGATATGCAGAGTGTCGTGTGAAACGTTTTGTTAAACACTTTTTGCTCTAAATGAAGATGTTATTCTCCGAATCTTATAAAATCCATAATCCACAAAATAATAGTTGGCTTCAATTATTGCCACATAAAAAACTCATAGCATTATTTGCATAAATTAAAAAATGAAAAATATTCCTAGTATGAATTTTTATGACTATTACATTTTTATCCTAAAATAATAATACGGCGTGTGAATTTTATTGACGTGTTTTTAGCATTTGAAAATTCATAAATTACTTTTGTGAAACTGTTTCTGACATATCAAATGTAACAAAATTACAAATTAAGGAATGTAATACGGTACTAAATCAAAAAGAAATATCATGGAATGGCATTAAATAAAAAAAAATCAACTTCGAATTTGTTAAGACCTAGTTTACTTTTAGCCTTAAGATGAGTGATTTAGCCTAAGAAAATTTCATTCTGGTGTAGCAAAATCTTTTTTTTTTTTTTTTTTTTTTTTTTAAACTCTGAAAAACGTAATTTCTCAAACTTGATATATTATGATTTAGAAAAGCCATAAGACGAATATTTTCGTTATTTAGAATACTTTTGTGATTGGAAGTATATGTGTACGGCCAATACTTGCAGAAATAGAGACTGCGTAATGACTTTTAGGACATGGTGTATAATATAACTGAAGTTTAAAAAAAATTCAAGTGAAAATAACTTAATTTATATTTTAGGCTCTGGAGGACCTCGTGAAAGATATAACCAACGGAATGTCGAAGCAACTATGTGAAAAGCAAACTGCCGACTCTCAGCTTATAAGCTTAGAACTCAATGTAACGACACAGTAAGTAATAACTATTAAACCGTATTTAAAATTTAAATTGTTTAGTAATCTTGTGTATATTATTGAACAATCTATTGGCCTTAGTATTCTTTTCTAACTGCGACATCTGTTGTTTTAAGTTAACAGAAATTACGTTTAAACGTTAATAACAAATTTATTTTTGAATGATTACGAAACGAGGGTTTATTTAAATCAGTTTAGACAATTTTTTATTATAGGATTTTTCTTTCTTTCTAAAACTTAAGTTATAAATACTGTGGCTAATTTGTAAGGAAGTTTCGCATTCCCGCTTGCGTGATTTTGTAGCGTAAGTCGTAACACGTTCAGCTAGCACTGAAAAATCTGTGACTCGAATGCCGGATGATATGCCATTTGTTGCTCCAAAATTTCTAAAAAAAATCTTTTCAGTGGCGTCCAGACTAAAATAGGAAATCGTCACCATTTGGATATGGTAGACTGAGTCTCGTTCCTCTCCCCAGTCACCCTTTAAGTGACGTAAAATATTAGTAATTATCGCATTCCCTCTTGCGTGCTTCGTAGTGTAAGTAATGGCACGTCAGTCGGCTTGTGAAATCCATGGTTCTGATCCTGGATCCCAGATAGAGCGCAATTAATTTCTTGCGTTGCCTAGCCTCGAAAAATTTCTAAAAATGTTTTTACAAACTTACTGTATTCTTTGACCATTTTGTCCGGTAGGAATTCCATGTTAATATAAGGAATGAGAATTTCTTGCCCTGAAGTCATGTGAATGATATATTTCTATGGAATTTGACGATAGGATTATTGAATAAAATGCCATTCAGGCTTATTTCTGGTGTGTTGTGAACTGAAATTTCTTTGATGTGTTCATGATCTTGAAGGTATGAGAATGAAATCTGCAGACAGAACTACACAATTTGTGTTTTTGATAATGTATTGACTTGAACTGCTTTCGAGCATGTCTTTTGTTAACTGTTTTGTATCTTTACGGTATATCACTGGTTGTTAGTCTAGCAGTAATCTCAAAAGTTTTTGCTTTCGTAATTATGATTGCCAAACATTTTCACGTCATCTTCTACTGTACACTGTTAACAATAATGATATTAATCAATATGTATGCACCCCTCCTGCGTAATGAAACGCAACTGGAGGAAGCTGCATCCTACTGAAAAAAACCCCAAAATTAGGCAAGAGGAGGGAGGATGCACAGCACAATAATGATATGATTTTTTGAATTTTTTATACAGTTATTTATATTTAATTCATTTTAGCAACGATTTTTATGCGGTATTAGAGGACGCTACTGGTCCCCGCTATTCAACCCGTTTGGTGTTGAGCTTTGTGCGTTGATGTGGTTGATAGATGCTTTGGTGGACTTAGTTGAGCCTTATGTGGGTCGTGTCGAGAAATACTATGACGCATAGAAATACTGTACTTTTTATTTTTCCTCCTGGTCTTCGGAGTTGCGTATCCTTGTTACATCCAAATCATCAATGGTGGGATTCAAAATTAAGCTCCTTTAGCGCCATCTGTTGGTCAAGCTCGATAATGCTGCGCCACTGCTGCCGTCTTTAAAATGGAAAACAACTTTGAGTATAAAACTAAGATCTGCGATGAAGAACGTAAACATCGTATCTCAAAGAAAAGAGTGAACTTCAACCTGTGCTGCCGATATTTGAATCTGTTTTCTCTGTTTTCTAGTATAAGCGTTGATTGAAAGCCGCTTTAAAACTAAACGAATAAGTACGGATCGCCCGATCCTAGAATAAGCAGTGCTTACTCTACTTACCCTGATGTCATAGCTTCATGATTTATGTAGATATAAATTTATCTACAAAATTAAAAGGAATGATTAATTTCTTGAAGTTTGGTATCTGAGCAACGTGATCATAACTTGTGAAACGTAGAACAGAAAACATAAAACTCTTCTGCTTGTCCAATTATATTTAAACTATCTATCTCACATTCTATTTACTTGTTAGTTAACAATGAAGCTAATTTTTCCCCTTAAGAATAAAATATCGAAGTGTTCAAAATATTTCCACTATTTTTCAATAAATGAAATGTATCACTTTTTGTGTTTTAGTTTGAAAATTTCCGGGAAGGCGAATATTGTATTTACTGCTTACTTAATTTTATGTAATTTAATTTTATTAATTGTCCTTATATTTTATCTAATTATAATATTTTAAGCACAAATGTTTTATGTTCATTACCTTTTACATACTTGTGCATTTAAAATCGAAATTTTTTTTAAAAAATTTTCTTCTCATGTTGCCGATATTTCCAACTTTTTTTAATCAGATAATCTCTGTGTCATCTTTTCCAACTCTAGAATATGAATTTCAAAAAAAAAAAATTCCCTCAAGTGAACTTTAAATTAATGTCTTAGTATCGTTATTATAAGTGAATTGTATGCGGTAATTTAGAGGTAGAAAATGACCCTGACGGTTATAAAATGTTTGACTATATCTTTAACTGCAGATTAGCCGATGCATAAATTCAATGTCAAGCAGTTCACGTGTTTGCTGTATCAGAATTTCGTTAATCATTGCGACTAGAAGTCATTATTGTATCCAATCGCAAATCATGTTTAAAGGGAATACGAGACAGTCTCCTTTAAAAAAATCCTTCACGTAAGCTTCCATTCTCTGAGGCCCATCAGCGGCCGAGCGGTAAAGTCGCTAAACACTGGTAGTTCGGTCCGAGGTTCGATCCCGCGAACGGGCTGGCTGCATGGGCGTTTTCGTGGTTTTCCCCCATGTGTAACGTGTATACGAGCCAGTTTCCTTAGAAAGTCCTCCACGAAGGCATCATTCCCTTTAGGCAGATAGCCCTAGTGTGCTTTCCGCATTCTCAATAAGCCATTCCCTGAGATTTCCCACGGTCTCAGGGAATGGATGGTAGAAGAGTGGTAAGTTTTCTGAACGCTAGTAATAGTTTAACCCTGGTTGAAATTTCGATGAGCGATCATGGGAGTTTCCGCATCTTTCTTCATGTGCAACATAAATATTAGGCAATTTCCATTGAAAAGTTCTCCACGAAAGTATCCCTGCCTCCGTGGGCATTGCCATAATCCAGAGAACCCTCCTCTTAGGCAGGTAGCCTTCATTTGTTTTGCTACATTCTAAATAATCCAAATCACTATTTTGCAAATTTGTGCTACTAAGAATAACGAGTCAAATTCTGTTTATTCCTGCTATTAAAAATCTTCATTTCCCCAAAAATGTAAAAAATAAATGACGGGGAAAATCTCCCCTCCTTCCCCAACATGATCAGTGATTCAGCTAAGGTTATGATAGAATACTGGCGACTTATGAAAATCTTTTAGGTATCTTTTCACAGGTATAAAGAACATTTACTAAATTCCTCAGTATGTTGATACACATAGCTACGACATCTACTGAAATAATCACTTAGGTTTAGGTCGCTTTATATATCTGTGGCATGTGAGCAAATTGGTGAAAATACTCTATGGCCTGGTTGATCATTTATGTTTATAGTGTACATTTCCTTCACATTAATTTGATGTACTTTTTTCGTTACTTTTTATAGAGAAGGGGTTGAAAGCCTTACCATCCAGTTTTCTTCTCCAGAAAAAAGAGCTATTTGGGAAGCTGCTTTCAATAGTGCGAAACAGAAACTCGGTATTTAATGTTTATTTATTTTGCAACTCAACATGTGATCATGCTTGTTTGTTCTGTAATTAATGTTAAGGAGTTTATCTTATTCTGCACATCAGCGAAACTGGCATATAAGCATAATTTCTGTAATAAATGTCAATATTCATGTTTTTTATTCTATGAAATATGCAAGTATTTTTCAATGAATATTCTGAGAATCTACAGTTGTTTAGGCGCCATTTACCGCACTTTTACCGTTAGCCTGGAAAATTTGTTACAAAACACAAAAATTAAGCTACTGCTCGTGAGTTCAAAACTAAGAGCAGGATAAATACAACTAAATGTCTTACTGTAGGGATGTCTTACTTAACTCCAAATGAGTAGCTTAAGAGTTAACTGCTTTAAACGGAGAATTCTTCTAATTGTGAGTATAAAATTTGTTTTGCAAGTATCATTTGGCACAATAATGTTTATTATTTTCTGTACAGCTTTCAATGAGTACTTCTTATGAGTTCTGATAAAAGTATTTTTGAACTCAAAACGATTTTTCACAATTTTTCATGTATATGTTTCGCAGTAAATTGAGAAATAATCTTTAAAAGATACGTGGCTCTGCTTTTAAAGCCAGGTATTTTTCTAAGATTTTTCTATTAATTACCTAAATTTTCTAAGATATGTATATATATATAGATAAATTGAGGATTAGAAAATAGCTGTTAACGACGAAATGTTATCACTGTAATTACTTGGAAAATCTTTATTGCGTACATTTACCAGATGACATAACGCATACAGACTTCATCAAAAGAAAACACATTCTTTTATTCATGGACATGCTTGATAAGCATAAACATGTTCATACATCATTTTGAGTGCGATAAGCACCCTCCACACTTTGCATCATTATACAGTTGCTGAAACAAAAAAATAACCAATGCGTGATGGCACAGCGAGAGGATGACAGGAAAAATCAGTGCGCATTTTAGCAAAGCATATTTATAGAGTTGAATCCTTTGTTTAAATTTCGAACGGTGACTGGCCAGGATCTAACCGTATTGCAAAATTAATTATGACTTAATGAAAAGTAGTTTTCATGTGATATAGTGGAAGGGGACGTAGTCAGATTAAAATGAGGAACTGAAAGGACTATTGCTAAGTTAAAGCTAGTAATTTTCTTTCTTATTTTACATCTCATATATATATGTGCATGCTTGAGCAATTCCTTCTTTTGGATTTAACACTTTAACAGATACTGAAGCGAACTTTACTTTTTACGAATATTATACATCATTAGTTTCTATCACGATGATACAATTTTTATCAATTTTTTTAAATATTAACTAAATTTTAATCTTTTCTAACTAAATATTTTTATCAAACAATACGTAAATAATTATATTAACGCAAATTAAAAGTACAAATTTATTTTTATTTTTATCTGAGAGCTAAAGCATGGCATACTTAAAAAAAATTCTGTTCACTACATTTTTAATTCGTTCAAAAGTAACATTTAGAAACTATGCACAATTCCAAAAATAAGTTTTGAGATAAAAAGTTAGATCTAATAAAAAGCACAAATGTTGTTATTGTTGTGAAATATCTTACTCAGTAACATCAGGAAAAGCTCACGAATTTCATCGTGGTAAGGAATGCAAGACTGCACCTGTCGTTCGAAAGACTGACTTAAGAAAATAATGCATCCGATCATCAGAAGTACTGCTGCAGAAAAAAACCGCAAAAAAAAAACCAGAATACTAAAGCACCACCAACTATCGACTGGCCTACTAAATTTACTGATTGTACCGAGACAGGAAGTTCTCCCAACTTACCCTATTCACGTAACGTGGTTTATATGACCATTTAATGTCAAAGCCGTCGCCTACTCTTCTGTCTCTTATCCTTTCAATATCAGTAGCGCACATAAGCTCAGCCCATGTGTCTATTTCTGTAAAGCGTATTTACAACAAATATATAACTAAAATGTATTCGCGGACCATGTAAAACTGGTTTTGGGGCCGACATTTTGAGACCACTGCTCTAAGTGAAACTTCCAAGTCCTTGTTATACTATTACATATTAACCACATTTTGATCATTTTTAGGAAAGGCAGTTTCCTATAAATTTAATTATCTTTAATTTGTATTCATTATTTTCTATTAGCAAAATATTTCTATTCTTATAATTTTGAGGATTCCTTTATCCAATTTACTTTATTTATTTATTACTTTATACTTTTTTTTTTTACTTGTAATCATGAAGACTAAAATCATTGGATTATAAGCTAGTCATTACTAATGAATTAATTATGTAAAATGGTTTTTGATAATAGTAGTAATAATTATAATTGTTTTAAGTAATAATAATAATCATTATTATTGTTTAATTATAATCGTTTTAAGTTAAAAGCAGCAAAGTTTTAATTTGATAAATCTATTTGAATACTAAGCATCAAAATTGTATATATGTTTATTCATTTTCAGCTCTTTCTGCAGATCGCCGACCACCTCCTGAATTCATGCATCCGCTGCCTATTCGGAAAACTAGAGCTGGTTTACAGGTAATTATTTCTTTTTCCATATTCACATTAAACCGTGAAAGCAATTTAATGAGTCAAAATGTGTTTTGACTCTTCTTCTGACGAAATAATTCTGAAATAAGTTTATTTCATTCAAATTTATCAGAATTCATCAAGACGTAAATTCCTAAGTAAATATTGTGCAATCAGTCATGGCATGAAAATTGCTTTCAACGACTCTATGTATCAGAAAACAATCAAATTACTTCATAATTAATATTTAATTGTGAATTACTGACTAATAATTGTAAGCTGTTTTTATTTTTATATTTATTATATATATAAAGAACTTTGATAAGTCGAAATTTAGAACTGGAAATTAAAGATAATGTTTATTGTTAAAAACGTGTACGTATGCATATACAGGGTGTTTCATATTGAATAGGACAAAAAAAGCTAATCTGTAAGTGCTGTAATTACTTTATTATGATAAATCAAATTTACAATGAAATGGTTATCTAGTTTCTATAGATGTTCTATGTGTGATTCTTCGGTGACATGGCAAATACCTATGCGGTATTCCAACGCCTGCCACACTTGTCATAGAATATCTTTTGTTTCTGATTCAAGCACTTTAGTTGTTGTAAGCGCTGGGGGAATGCAGACACGAACACTTTGTCTTTAAAAAAACCCCACAGGAAAAAACTCACAAAGGATTAGATCTGTGGATCTCGGTGGCCAACAAAGCAATGGCATATAGTTTGTCCCAGCACAGCCAGTCCAGCGATGGGGTAGACTATCGTTCAGGTACTGGCGTACGTTTTTACGCCAATGTGGTGAAACACCGTCGTATTGGAGGATGAAGCCGGGAATAGCTTCCTTCACCTGAAGGAACAACCGATATGATAATATACCTTGATTAATGCACCAGGTAGTCGATTTTTTTCACGAAGAGAAAAGGACCAAAGATACAACTGTTGGAAATGGTGCAAAAACCGTTCACCTGTGGAAAATCACGCTCATGTTACATGTGGATTTTCCGTGCCCCAGAATCGTAAAATACGGCTCTTACCTTTGTCAGAAGCATGAAAAGTGGCTTTATCTGTAAACACAAGTCTATTCGCAAAACCATCTACCTCCGGCTTAACTTTCAAATTCTCACAGAAAGCTTTACGCAGCGGTTTGTCGGAAGGTTTCAACGCCTACATCATCTGAAAGATGTATGGCCGGAATTCTAAACATTTCCATAACACGCGCCACACCCTTACATGAGGCAGATAGAGTTCAAAACTGGCACGACGCCTTGAACTTGTGGGATTTCGTAAAAGCGTTTCGCGAATTTTTTCAACCATTTCAGTTTGGGCTGCTGTTCGTCCTGTGCTCGTTTCCGCACACAGCATCTCATGTCCTGAAACTGCTTCACCCACGGTTCGATGTTGTGACGAGGATGCTTTGGCGTATTCCAAAACACAGTACGAATTCTCCTGGATGGATAGCGCTATTTTGATTGATAGTATCTCTAGCGGCAGTTTCGTAACCGGAAGATTTTTCGCTGTTGCCTGATAAAACTTCTATAGTTGTAGTTTCAGAATTAATTTGTTTCGGCTTAATAAATCAGTTACAGAATTTATATTATGCTATTTTTTTGGCCCTATTCAATATTGAAAACCCTGTATATGAAATATAGGTTTGTGGGATGTTCCGCAAATACCGCGTAAACTCTTCATGATGATATTTCTCGCTCTGAATGATTAAAGAGCCTCCAAACAGCTATATTTCTACGACCCGAAGTTTGACAGTAGCACATAAAAAAATATTGTGTCACTTTTCTACAAGGGATATGATTTTATTTTAAATATTGCATATTGAGTTAAATATTTTTTTAATTAGGTTAAACTATCATTTATTCAATGTGAGGGCTACCATATTTTTATAGTTTAAACACTTTTATGATAAATATCATCTACCAGTTATATATATAAATTTGTTGAAAAATACAATAAGTTTAAACAAAATAAATAGGACTTTTTTTTTGATAAAATTTCTGTATTATCTCATCTTTTATGCTTCCTGTTAAAAAGTATTATATATAGTGTGGCGAGAAAGTCCCTTTACACCTGAACTAAACTGAGTGTAACATTGCGAAATGGTAAGATGTTTAAGATTTAGATCTCTCATTCTGATCATTAATATGGTAATAGCGATCTGTAAAATGACTGCCAGGGGAGAATGCGCGTTGACCAGTTCATTGTCTCGCCTTTCTGTGCTTAGTGAAGAACAACGGCAGATACCAGCGACTTCACTTTAGCGGAGCGCTAAGTGACAAGTATGTTGCTGTTGTGACTTATCTCACTTGTCTGACAGTAACATTAGAACAAGCCCACGAAATTCATCGTGGCAAGGCGTGAAAAATTGCGCCTGCCGTTGGCAACAGCCTTGAGCACCATAAAGGCGGCAATACGACTTTGCTCATGTCCGTCCCCCAATTTTGATGGAGAGCATTCCGAGAGGGGGACAGGTCCTAGGATCTCCCACCCTTCTTTCTCTACCACCGACCTCTTGAGAGGACTTCAGGCTCCCCGCATATTTAGAGTGCCCTCTTGCCGCACAGACATTATACATTTACAAACATCCATACCTTCTCCGGATTCAAACCCGCGCCCTTCGGTATGGCAGCAGTGAATGGAAACATAGCAACGAAAGTATAACACAGGTAATGGATAGCTTTTGTAAACGGCTCAATAAGGAGCCACCAAGTCGTCATACTTTGATCACGTGGGAGAAGAAAGCTTTTCGCTTGGGAAGTTCGCCTTCGAATTTGGATTCCCTCCGCTCTATGGGATCAACGCACCAGCGGCCGAGCGGTAATGTCGCTGAACACTCGTAGTTCGGTCCGAGGTTCGAATCCCGCGAACGGGCTGGCTGCATGGGTGTTTTCGTGGTTTTCCTCATGTGTAACGTGTATACGAGCCAGTTTCCCTTAAAAAGTCCTCCGCGAAGGCATCCCTCCCTTAAGGCAGATAGCCCTCGAGTGCTTTGCCGTAATCTAATAAACCAAACCAATTAACGCACCAGCGATCGAGTGGTCTCTGAAAACAGGTAGTTTGGTCTGGGGTCCGAAACCCGACAAATGAGTTAGCTGCATGGGCGTTTTCGTGTTTTTCTCCGCATGTAACGTGTATAGGACCCAGTTTTCCTTAGAAAACCCTACAGGAAGTCATCGCTTTTCTTAGAGAGATGGCCCTCGAGTTCTTTGCCGTAATCAAATAAACCAAACTAATAAGGGAGATCATCAAATCATACATCAAGAAGAGTGTTACGTGAACACTGAAATGCTGAGTGGTCAGGTGTGCTTAGTGCAGCATGTGACACCACACCTGCTGAAATAGATGAGTAAGAGGCAATTCAGGCGTATTAAGCTGTGCAGGATAATGCGGGTGTACATACGGACGTTTTGGACAAATAACTGTAAATGTTTTTAAAGTTACAGGGAAATAATTGCACTTGCAAAGGGACTTTCTGGCCACCCTCTATATGTAAGACAAAAAGAATGAAAAGCAAAAATTTTATTTTAATTTTCAATAGCCCTTTAACTCTTCATTTTAATTTGAATATTTACCCTTTGTGTCCTATGAATATCATTTGCTTACAGACCTCTCTAAACTGCGTCTTTCAAAATTAAGAGCCATCATATGAGTTTTACATAATGTTCTGACGCAAACTATGCCTTCAGCTAATAATAAGTTTAGGTCCCGAAAATTAGCCAATTGAAATTAAATTAAAACTGAAACCAGTTAATTCAGAGCGAGGATTTTGCCTCGAACACTTCACACTTGTTTTTCGCTTTTTTTGCTAGTTAGAAACTTTGTCGCTGCTTCTCTTCTTACCGCAAAGACATCAAAAATGTAAAATTCTAGAACAGGCACGCTTATAGCGCCCGTTTATTTATGCTGGCTCATGGAAACGTTTGGCTAGGAATAAATAAAAAGGAATATTTAAATCGGCCGTGATTATAACTCCTTTATTTATGCTTCAACAATTTCTAAATCATTACATTGATTTCAAAATACATATATGTAAGATATAACAAAATACGATAGTTGCTTTAAAAAAATAATTGGCGACCTCAAAATTAACATTCTAGATTTGGTGCTCTTCCCCTAAATTGATATGTTCTTCCAAATTCGAGATTTTTCCACGTTACGTAACGCTGCTTGAAAAGGGTAACCAAAACTAATGACTAACCAATCATAGCTTGTTTCTAGAATCGCACCTACTCTGGTATAAAAAAAAACCCTGGCAATTAATTACGTTACCTTCTTCTGATAGTTCCTACCTTGCTAATATCGCCTCGCTATGCTTCCCCTTCTAAAGTTTTAAATTTAAGAATTAAGTCTTCGTCTTAAATTTAAGAATCCATGTAAATAGCAATTTATCATATTTCATTATGATTGAATCATAGAAAATGTATCGGATTTCATTATGATTGGATAAACATCTATGGAGATGATTTTATATGTGTAAAAATAAAGACTGGAAATTCTTCAAGTTTCGTGTTTTATTACTTCATCTGTATGCCTTAACCACAGCCATGAGGGACATGGAAAGCTGTTGAGAGTTCCAGCCATTGCTACTGTGCTTAGAAAATATGACATATATATGTATGTGTCTGTGTGATGCTTTAGAAGCTGCTGATGGCATGAAACATAAAGCAGCTTTCGTGGCCGATTGAATACAAAAACATTGTGTGGAAGCACATTCTTGTGTTCTTCATCACAATTGTCTTCATCACAATGCAGATTGCGCTCATCACTGTAATTGAAGTTAAAGAAACTTCAATTATAGTGATGAGCGCAATCTGCACGTTCATTTTTGATCCCATTTGTACCTTTTTACATCGTTGATCTTTCTTCATGAATCCGCACCAATAAAGCTTCTGTCAGACAGCTTTGCTGTAACATTACCGCTTAAAAGGCGTCATACCATTGCGGCTAAGTGCTACTCGGCTGTTTTTTTAGAGTTCATCTCATGAGAAAGGTTCGGGAAAACAGCAGCATCATTACATTTTATCAATCAATCGTCCTCCAAGCAACACCATGGTACGGACAGTGGAGTTTTCTCGCACCTTAAATTTAAAGAACTTTCCATACTGCTTACAACCCATACATCGCTTTGTGGCTTCTTTAATTCGCTAAAACAAGGAACAATTGTACAAAATATTTGTTTGTTATTGCGGACTTAAAAATTGCTGCCTTTTTCCAGTGTACTGTGTATGCACTTTTCAATACTGGTAATGACTACTTTCAGGGATGGTTTGTGTAGATAACAAAGCGTATCACTTATAATGCTTCATTTTCATCTGACTGAAAACTTTCAGTATTAAAGCAGAACGAAATCGATGAGTCCGACATCGTGCGCTTCTCTTGTGAATGTATTTAAATCAGCATGAAAAATAAATTTTACATTTTATTTGCTTAAATTTTTTTCTCTTACGAAGGATACGAAAACTGTATTGAGGGAAATAAGTTACTTAAAAATTTGTTTTTAACTGCAGTGCAAGAAAAAAAAAATGTTAGTTTGAAGTAAGCAGTTAGGCAAAATTCAACCTTAGGCTGTCCTTGATTTTATAGAAAAATCGAGCGTTTCAAGGTAGACTGAGAAATGATCCCTGTTTTTCAATGAGCAAAATTACTTTGCGCTGGAATCTATAAATAATTATATAAGTAGGAAAAGTAAAATAAACATCTAATAAGATTTATGGTTTGCTGTGCTTTTGATGTTGGCTCCTGGTGACATCTATACGCTTGAATAAAGTGCGATGTAAGACTTCCGCGATCTTTGGAATAAAATCTTCCGTCAGCTTTAAAGGGTGGTTATTGGAAGCCCAGAACCTGCGTCTGCTCGGTATCAGTGAAATACTTTACTTTCATCACAAAAGAACTCTTGATTTCAAATAATTCAACTCTCAAATTCGTGAGCTCTGGGTGGCTCACGCGGACGCTGAATGATAAAGAAAGCAACAATCTTAGCTTCATCCATCAAGCTAGAAATCATCGTTAAAACCATTAACTAAATGCAGCTTTAGTTCACGATTTTAAATACTATCTAGTTTTTTCCCAGTTTTTTAAAAGCTTTATTTCACAGCTTTTACTCCACTGATTTTTGGCCCACCAGAGGCCGAGCGGTAAAGTCACTGAACGCTGGTATTCAGCTCGAGGTTTGAATCCCAGTGAAAGGGCTGGTTGCATAGGCGTTTTCGTGTTTTTCCCGATGTGTAACGTTCACATCCAATCCGCCCACACGGCTCTACATTGAAACAACCAGAACCGCCCGAAAACGGCCGAGATTGTAATCTTGTTTTCTTCCCTCCTTTTAAGGTATGCAGAAGCAAGTGCAGTTTCCCCAAATGCATTGCATCAGTTAATCTTTTGATTAATCGTGACATTTCTTTGTTGATTCTTTTGTGGTACAGTGTGCTTTTAAGCTTTAAACAGCAATAAAAGAGCAGTTTAAAAATTTAAGGATTATATTTATTTTTAAACAATTTATTCCTTCCTATAAAAATAACGGAAATAAACAAATCACTGTCGTGATCGTAACAAAGCCGGAAAGGCTTGTTTGTCTTGTTTGTTAGAATAGTTTTATAAAGAACGGGGTCAAAGGCAAATGGAATATTTGTTAGAAAGTACAAAGGATGTCATTGGAAATCTTCACACCTATTTTCTGCGTTAATGGACGGGGAGGGGAGGAAATTTCTGTGAAACTGGAAAACTATTTCGGGCGGTCCGGTATTTTGAGGATACAGGTTAGCGAAGGGTCTGGATTTCAAAGAGATATACGAGCCAGCTTGCCTTAGAAAATCCTCCACGAAGGCATCCCTTCCCTTAAGGTGATAGCCCTCGAGTGCTTTGCTATTGTGGAGTCATTAAGCTTTTTTTTTATGCTGGAGACGTGAAAAATCTCCAATGCAATCGCCGGGACTCGAGCTCCGGGGCTTCCGAATACGCGTCGAGTGTGCTTCCAGTTATCCAACGAAGGCATGCGGAAAAGAGGAAGAAAATACTTTACACCAATAATTAAACCAAAGCAAGCGTTTTATTTTTGTTTAATTCAATAACTGATGCTGCATATTTATTTGATTTCGTCTTTAAATTTATATATTTCTGGCTTCCGTTGCAGAATATTTCTGTCTTATACCGCATATCTTACATCATGGAAATGCAGTTTTCTCAAAACCAACGCCAGTTTAAGATTGAATTTTGCCTGCTTTTAATTATGCTAAATTGCGTTTTGAAAAACGATTGTTAATTATATATCTACATGCAACAATTACTGTTGTTTTCTCTTCACGCGTTCTTTAAATATAAGAGTATTTTATTGTTTCAGTGAATTCTAAATATTTAAGTCATTATAAATGTTAAGTAGAACATGCTAATTATTCTAGTTTCTTACTTTTAGTTTACATGTGCAACTGCGACATTGGGTCTCAATCAACAAGGACTGCGCGATGTGTGGGTGTGCAACAGCGATGGCTATGTGGGACAAGTCTGTGTGCTTAGCTTATTGCCTGAGCCAACAGTCATGTCTTGCAATGGTGTCTGCAATGCACGCATCCTCACAATCGCATCCATTCCTGCTGCTTGTTCGATGTAAGTTTCGTAGTTTTAGCTACGTTTCATATCTTCTTTATTACTTAAAATCTTTTTTAAAAACTCGATCGTAATTCAGATTCATTATGTAGAAATTCATAACACAAATAAATACACATTTTATTTATATTTGTTGCCAATTCTCTATTTATGCGTTTGGGAAATTCATTAAAAATTTGGTACTTGCATATTATTCAGTCGACCGTGAAAAATAGCTAGCATCGAACCATGAAAGTTGGCTGAAAATCCCGCGAAATTTATGCCAATCATTATTGCGGAAGTCTTGAAGGAACTGATGCCTCATTATATAATAAACAACTAGTATTCGACCGTTTCGTTTTTGCGCTTTATAAAAAGGCTTTGTGAATTTCTATTGCTTTGTTAAGCCCACAGATTTTATCGGAAGATCTATTCAGAACGCTGTGAGCAAACTTTCCACAGGTAATTATTCCAGTCTATCACTGTTTTGTTGCCATATTCAGCTTACCATATCGTGTCCATTACTACACATTTTTACTTTCTTGTACGAAGTAAAAGAAGTATTGTAATCACGAAAAATTCCGGTATCATATTTCAACGAAAATATCCATTTTGACAGCTATCGAATGCAATTTAACGATGTTTTTGCGTGACATCTGTACGTAAGGACAGAATAAAGGACTCTTTTCCCAAAATGCATAAAAAACTGATTTAAAATGGTTTCAGAAGAGATTTTTTTTCCGTGGCGTCTGCACGTACGTACGTATGCATGTATCTCTCATAACTCAAAAAAGAGCAGCCTGAGAACGTTGAAATTTTATATAAAGGAATGCTGTAACATTTGTGCATCTCCCTTTTTGGTTGCAATCGTCCGAACCTAAAAGTATATAAATATATGTATATACCCGCTCTGTTACTCGGCTCATTGAGCTCAGTTTTTTTCCCCTTATATATTGGTAAATTGCGCAATTTTTATTTAATAAGGATTGAATTATGTTGTTTTTATCTTCCGATTAAGGTTTTCATGCCTTTCGTCAATCTGCATGCAATAGTTATAGAATTATCAACAATTTAAAATTTAAATGCGACTAAGCCTAATTTTTCTTACCACGGCAGCCATACTTGTTTACATTTGAGCAGAATAGTGAATTAAGTGGTTCTGCACCTCCAGTGTCTTTTTGCCGAGTGGGACCAAAAGGAAACTTTTACTTTTGTGAACCGAAATCCTGCGTTCTTGCCTGATGCAATCTTGTTAATCTGCGTTCTTGCCTGATGGCCAAATTGCTTGTTTTTGCGTAGAAAACCTGGCTTATCGAGAGTCAATCGGAATGACACCAAGAAAAAGCGCGCAGATGTTAAAAGTGTGTTGATTTAGACTCTTGTTCATATAAACAAAACCTGGCTTACCGAGAGTCAATCGGAATGACACCAAGCGAAAGCGCGCAGATGTTAAAAGTGTGTTGATACGTCAGGCGTATCCACAATTGGCGCTAAATTGCGCTGTTTGGTCTCAATTTCACGGTCGATAGGATAATACGTAAGTACAAAAATGTTTATATTCCACATAATAGTAATTATGATTTCATTTTTAATGCTTGCTTTTAGAAATGGAAAAATTCTGCATCTATGTTAATTTAGTTAATGTTTCTTATTCCTGTAAATAATACAACCTTCGTTGTATATTTAAATGTACCCAAAAGTTTATGTGTAAATTACCTTTTAGATACATTACTGTACATTTAAATATCTCTAAAAATTAACTGTAAGTAAATATTTTATTGGATGCTTATCTATCATTCAGTGAGATATCTATCATTAGTAAGAAAAATTCCTGACCTTTGAAGAAGCTGTAGTATTTTATGTTTTAATTTTTCTTTCTTCAAATACATATTCTCCAGCACATTTCATGCGATGCATATTGACGCGTATCACACTTCGTCAAATTTTCGACTAACAAATTTTAAATGTTCATACACCATGAATAACTGAGTATCTCTCACATATCCAGTTTGACACAAAGATCGATACACATTGTTAAATTACTAATGACTGATAATTTTGCTCTTTCCAGACCTTAAGGCAATAATTTGAGGTATTATTTTTATATATGTATCCCATGCATGAAATAACTAATTATATGCCTTGCATCTATATTGGTAGACATGTAGTTATGTACTGTAGTAAATAAATCTACAATGAAGATTGACAAGCTCAGTCCTAACTTCTCGAATAGTCAAAATTTCATTCCATTTCATTAGATTTAACTAAAATTAATTGTATATTACAAAAAGTTTTTCTTAAATTCTTCGAGGATTTTGAAGTCAAACCAGACTTTAAAAAGTCTAGATAATAAATATTAATGGCTAATACAAAATTTGGCTATAACAATGATCTTCTTTTGCAAAATTTGAATATAATATCAGGTAGGCATACCGGATTATTAGGCTGATTGGGTTAGGTTTATTAAATTACAGAAAAGCACACTACAGCAATCTGCCTAAAGGGAAGGATGCCTTCATGGAGAACTATCTAAGGGAAATTAACTCGTATCTATATTACACTTGGGGGAATATAGAAAAACAGCCGTACATCTAGCCCATTGGACTGGGCTCAAACTACCAGTGTACCTTATACCCTCAAAGTCTAGTGAGCGCGGAGATGCTGAATAAATATACTATCACAAATAACATTCTGTCATTAAAAGAGTTGTAGGAACATACAATTATTTCTTTCGTTCGTTTTCTGTTAGTTAAAAAATTTCATTTTTCCGTGTAAACTTATCTTTCAATTTATTTTTTCTCCTTTTAAAAGATTCGTTTTCCTTAGTTTGATCGTAAAATTCGTTTACCAGATTTGAATTGCCTGTGACTTTACAGCATTTGTTTAACATAATTACGCGGGTCGTAAAATGGTTGCTTGAAAATACGTGAAATTTACGTTTGGAAGATCAGGAAAAAAATCAGCGGTTTTGCTTTATTTGTCAATTTTGTTCATCTGATTATATTTTTAAATCATCTCCGAAATTATGAATATCTTCTTCAGGTGGTGAATTTTAAAAGCTTTCCAAGGACATCTTCTTCACCAACTGATGAATATTTAACAGTTTCCAAATCACTATTTTTGCTCTCTTGTTTAAAGAGATCTTTTCTCATAGCTTACCCATTAGTTTCAAATTTATTTTCTGAATAGTCTGAAAGTTATTTTCTGAAAGTTTCAAATTTGTTTTCTGAACATGAAGTATATTTTGAGAATCAATTAATATTTGCTTTTTTCTCCTTTAATATGCTTATTACTTGAAAACAGGAGACAAACTAACAGGAAAGAAAAAGCGGCCGAATGACTAAAATCAGAGAAGAGTTCGACATCCCTGCAAATGAACGTGCTTGCTGCTTTGTTCTCGTGGTTTCCTACTTGTAGAAAGTAAATGCAAATTCAGTTTCTCTTATAAAATTTTCTCCAGTAAGGCTTCTCACCACTTAAGCAAAAAGAATTCTCGTGCCTTGCCGAATTAAAAAACTACCATTATGTTCTTTTGAACATAATCTGCGTTAAATTAGGATTTCAAGAAAAATATAAGCCAAAGAAGAGCTCTGAACGAGAGGGGTGAGGGAACATATTTCTGTTACGGCAGAAAAAAGTGTTCCATCTTCCTCCACAATAAGCCAATGAATACACACGGATCAAGCTATGTAGTTTCCAAAAAGAAAAAAAGAATGTTATTAAGTGTCGTCTATTATGGATAGGACAAAAGGAAAACTCTACACCATATGTTGAGGAAAAATAACCGAAATAACTTTGGTACTTTCGTATTAGCGCAACTTCCTTAGCAGAAGTCATTCCGCTAGTAGTCGAGTTGTTAAAGCTGTTAAATGCTTGTAGTTCAACCCAGGCGAATGGGCTCGGCGGTTTTACTGGTTTTTCCTACGTATAACGTGAATACAATTCAGTTTCCCTTTGTCCGGTACCTGCCGATTTACTGTTATCTACAATGGCACAATCTTAGATAAGATAAAAGGCAAGAAAATGCATAAAAAATCATAACTTTTTTAAGCAGTTCAGAAAAAAATATATATGGTTTTTAAGCATTTAAATACTATGTGATGGCCGTCACCCATCCGAGTCCGGTTTGCATCACAGTCCGGAAGTGTATGCGGACAAGACTCGACATTTCCGCTTAAGAAGTTAGAAAGTCCATCGCGAAGGCATCCTTTCCCATAGGCAGATAGCCTTCGTATCATTAGCCATATTCAAATAACCAAGCATATGTAAATATAAACAAAAGGTTAGAAATTTTAGATGACGTTAATAATTTTAATTAAATAATCAAGGAATAATAATTAAATACAAATTAAATCAAGAAATTGATCAGCCGTCTAATCGAAAGTACACGTATCAAAACTGGAAAGCAAAAATTTCAATAAAACTGAAACAAACAAAAAATTCAGTAAGTAACATTATAAAAATTAATTAATACAACATAATAACATTAACATAAAAAATCATGTTGAAAATTCCTTGGTCCTTTTCAAGGAGCCAGACGAAGGATTTTCAACACTTTTCTGAATTATATCTGGATGATTATGGATTCTTGAAATAATGATTAAAAGAAAGTTGTAAAATAAAAAATAATTTAATAAAATTATTATGTTAAAGTCCATTAAATGTGCAACAAAGGGAAAAATTTTTATTATAATTAATCATCAAGACATAATTTGCTTCAACGTGACTTTTAAGTAAAAATTAAAAGTGACTGAAAATTTCTAAAACTAATTCTAGAGTAAGAAACTAGCATAACCATTGGGTAAATTAAAAGCAACGTGCTAAATAAAATTAATTAAACTTCAGACTAATTGCTAATAAAAATTTTACAAATAAAAAAAAACTATTGTAAAATAAAAGCAAAAATATTTCAAGTCAGTGTTTTGAGAAAACCAATTTCTTTAGAAGAAATTAACCAAATAAATAAGAAAAAGTTATAGTAATAATTGATAAAGAAAAATTTCCAGACCGGAGGAAAAATG